TCTCTTCTCTCTCTCTCCTCTCTCTCTCTCTCTTTCTTCTCATCTCCCTCTCTCCCCTCTTCCCCTCTCTCTCTCTTCATACTTTTAAATTTAAAATCCGTTCTGAATTAGATTTTAAGGGTTTAAAAGGGGTGTCCAGAACACAGCCATTTTCCCAGATTCTAAAAAGGCTTTTTTTGGTTATTTTAATTGAACACCCATCCCCAGGCTGGGAAAAGTTCAAAAGATGCTTGTGTGTGTGTGTGTGTGTGTGTGTGTTTTTTGGTTTTTGTTGTGGGGTGTGTGTGTGGGGTGGTGTGTGGTGTGTTGGGGGAGTGAGTGTTGGGGGTTGTTGCGAGTTGTGTGGGGTGGATGTGTGTGTGTGTGTGTGTGTGTGTGTGTTTGTTGTGTGTGTGGAGTGTGTGTGTGGGGTTTTGTGTTTTGTGGAGGTGAGTGTGTGCGGTGTGTGTGTGGTGGTGTTGTGTGTGGTGGTGGGGTTGGTGTGTGTGTGTGTGTGTGTGTGTGTGTGTTGGGTTGGTTTGTAATAGCCCCCCTTCCTGTGTTACACCGCTCTTCTTGCTGCTCTGACCGCAGCTTTTAGTTTCCCCAAAACTACAACCTCAGTAACCACAATTACTACCACCACCAGTAACCACAATTACCACCACCACCAACCCATACCATATCAGGTGGGAGTAGTAGTGGGGTGGTGGTAGGGGGGTGGGGGTTAGTGGTAGTTTTTGGGTTTGGGGGTGGTTTGGGGGTGGTGATTTTTAGGAGGGGGGTGGTGGTAGGGGGGTAGTGGGTGGTGGTGGTGGTGGGTGGTGGTGGGGGTGGTGGGGGTGGGGGGTGGTTGGGGTGGTTTTTGGGGGGTGGTGAAATTTTTGGAAAAGGGGGGGGTGGTGGTAGTGGTGGGGGGTGGGTGGGTGGTGGGGGTGGGTTTGGGGGAGTGGTGGTGGTGGTGGTGGTGGTGGGGGGTAGGGGGGTTGGGGGGCGGTGGTGGGAGCAATGTGGTGGTAATAGTGTGGGGTGGTGGTAGTTGGTAGTGGGTGGTGGTGGGGGTGGTGGTGGTGGTGGGGGTGTGGTGGTGGTTTTGGGGGGTTTTTGGTGGGGTGGTAGTGGTGGTGGGGTGGTGGTGGGTGGGTAGGGGGGTAGGTGGGGTAGTGGGGGTTTGGGGTGTGGTGTGGTGTGGGGTGGTTTTGGGGGGCATAGGGGGGTTTTTGGTAGTAGTGGGGGTGGTTTTGGTGGTAGTGGTGGTGGTTGTGGTGGGGTGGTTTTTGGTTTGTGGTGGGGTAGTTGGGGGTGTGGGGTAGTAGGGGGGTGGATGTGGTGGTGGTGGGAGTGGTGGTGGAGAGTTGGTGGTGGAGTGGTGTAGTGGGGGGGGGTATTGGGGGTTGGGGGTGGGTGGTGGTTGGTGGTATGGGGTGGGTGGTGGAATATTGGTGGGGTGGGAGTTGGGGGTGGGGTGTGGGGGTGTAATGGTGGTGGTGTAGTGGTGGTGGGGGGTGGGGGTGGTGGGTAGTGGTGGGTGTAGTGGTGGTTTTTTTGGGGAGTAGTTGTGGTGGTTTTATGGGGGTGGGGGTAGTAGGGGGTGGTGGGGGGTAGTAATGGGGGGTGGTGGGGGTGGTATGGTGGGGGTGGGGAGTGGTTGGTGGAAGGGGGTGGTAGTGTGGTAGTGGGGTGTAGTGGTTGGGGTAGTGGTGGTGTGGGGGGTTTAAAATGGGAAAAAAATGCCCCCCCCTATTTGGCCCTTGTTTTTGAAAAGGGGTTTTAGGTTTTGTGGTTTTTTCGTGTTGTTGTATGTCGTGGTGGTGGTAGTTATAGTTTGTTTTGGGTTTTTTTTTTTTTGTTGTGTGTTTTTTGGTTGGGGTTTTTCTTTTTTTGTTTATTTTGTGTTATGGTGGTGGTTTTGTAGTTTTGGTTTTGTTATGGTTGGGTTTTGGTGTAAAAAAGGGTGGAAAAGAAATTGATGGGGTAAAAAAAAATTGGTTAAAATTTGTGGTGGGGTGTGGTTTAAACTAAGGAGAAGAACAAAACCCCCCACCTGGATCCCCCAAAAATCCCTTTTCCCAAAACTCCCAATTTTTTTCGCAAACGGGGTTGTTTTTGCCCGTTAGGGGGCTTTTTTGGGTGTTTCTCTAAAATTTTTCCCGAATGTAATGAAAAAATACTGTTTGTTTTCTTTGGGGGGTGCTGATTTTTTTACTGGTTTTTTTATTTTTGTGTTTTTACTTCCCCTTTTGTTATTTTTGTTGGGGCGGGGAGCCAAATTTTGGCTTTGTCTGGGGTTTCTCCCCCCCCCAAACTTTACAGCGGGGTAAAAAGGAAATGAGGGGCAAAAAGTTACCCCCCCTTGTGGGGGTTGCTGCGGTTTTGGTTGGTGGGGGGGGGGTGTTGGGTTTTTGTTTTGGGGGGGGGGGTTGGGTTTGGGAGGTTTAATCGTCTCCAACCCTTTTTTTCAATTTTTTAAATTTTGGGAACTGGTGTTTTAGTCCATGTTTGGTCCGGGGGGTAGGTATTACCTCTAAACACACCAAAAAACAACAAAAACAAAATTTTCCCCGGGGGGGTGTTGATTTTTTTGCCCAGTAAAAAACAACCTTTCCCCTTAAAACCTAGTTTTGGGTTTACTTTTCCCAAATTTGTATAAATTTTTTCAAAATCGGCGAAATTTAAAAAGGTTTTTTTTCTTTTAAGGGTCCCCCCCCCTGCTCCCTGAGCTTTATCGTAGCGTGTGTATATTCACCTAATTGTGATTGCAGGGGTCAATTCAAAGTTCCTGACCCCCTGTGTGTGTGTGTGCGTGCGTGTGTGTGTGTGTGTGTGTGTGTGTGTGTGTGTGTGTGTGTGTGTGTGTTGTGTGTGTGTGTGTGTGTGTGTGTGTGTGTGTGTGTGTGTGTGTGTGTGTGAGTGTGTGTAAGTGGACGTGCTACCAACCACGCCTGTGTTCTTCTACCAGCTGATTCTAATATTTGTGTGAACTGGCTGCCTCTCTGAATGTCCAGTGTAGGTCAGGAGACAGGTGATGGTGAGTCAGTTAGTGGCCGTCATCAACACACGCACACACACACACACACACACACACACACACACACACACACAGACACACAGATGGGGGTGCTTCGCGATGTCTGCACACAGCTAAAATAAGCTAACCTTTCCAGCTTAACCTTACGTAACCTTGTCTGACATTACCTAATCTAAATTAACGTTACCTAACAACGTCTAACTTAACATTAACAAACCTCGCCAAGCGCAACATACATTACGAGGAATGTTTTTCTCGGTAAGTGAACGTCCGCGAGCGACCGAACTGCTCCAGTGACTAACTTCCACCTCAGACATTTGGCTAATGTACAAGCTGGTGTGGCAGTGTAGTACGCGCTCATTCTCCACCTTACACCCCAGCCATGAAATATCTAAGCCATTTCTTCCTCACTGGTGATCACTGTGAGGTTAGACAAGCATAATAATTTGATTATGAATATACAGATCACCAATTAGATTCTGATTTTTAAAATTTTGCTGCCCAAACTTCGACTACATCATATATGGTGCAAATGATCGACTCTAACATACTATACAAGGCAACTCTTCCTTATTGACTGTTGACTGTAGGTACATTAATTTACTTGTCTTGTTACTAATGGTATATAATACCAACAAGCCGAGAAGTAAGACATATGGGCAACACTAGAGTTCTTTATTGGCGAAGCTTTCTCCGTGCAGTGCAGAGTTTATTAGTAGGTTACAGAAACATCAGCACTTGTGGAAGACGGAGTTAGAGAAAGAGGAAGTTGATGCAATCACTCCATCACTCTTGGAGTAAGATGGTAAGACTCTTAGTTTTTACCATCTTGTTCAGAGAGTGATGGACTGATTACGCCAACTACCTCTCTACTTTGTCTGCTTCGCCTTCCACCACTGCTGATGTTTCTGATGAAGGCTGCATCGCAGGCGAAACATTTCCTTAATAAAGATTCCTAGTGTTGTCCATGCATCTTACTCGTCGAATTTTACTGTCACTGTAACATGTTTCACGGGTCTTCCTTGAACGCTGCATTTAACTCTGTAATGAGTCCACTATTAAGCGGTATTTTGATGTTCCTTAGTAACCTTGTCAACTTGCAGAGAGAATATAGAAAATAATGTTCCATTATGTTTCTTGGGCGATTTTATTTATTTTGTCGACATTAACATCTATAACTGTGATAAAGGAGTCACTGGTGGTGCTTCCAGTCCTACAGTGACTTCGAGGTGGTGGAAAATTCTTGCTATTTCCTGTCATTCTTTATCGCTTTCTGTCACTAAAGAAAATCTCTGTGGTCTCGACTGTTGCGACAACCATGGTTAGTTTGTTAACGTGGTTTGTACCTCCTGGTTCCATTCCACTGTCTTGGTAGTTTTGTTTCTTATTTATTGAGGTGTGGCACATTTTAAGGGGAAACTGTGTGCTGGAAGTATAACAACATGAACTCAGAGATGAGTTGAGAATTCAACACCCTGCCTGCGTCATGCAACGACCCCTCTTTCGTGCTCTCAACACCCTTGCATCTCACCCTACACCCACACCACTACACCCACACCTTTACACCCACACATGTACCCACGGTACTCACTCTGCCATATATGCCAAGGAAGTCACTGTAGTTAGGAATGTACTCCTCCCCGATGTATCTCTTGAGTTCTTCAATAAGATAGTCTGCGTCAGCGAGCCTCTCCTTGTTCTGCTTAATGTCTGCGTAGTCTGTGGACACCACACACAGATGTATTAGTTTTGGGAGGTGGGGGAGGTAAGGCTGGTGGGGTGAATAAGTCAAAGGTGAGGAAGTATTTACACTACAGAATTCATCTTTATTGAAGGAGTGTTATGGATTTACGTATGATAAGAATGACAGTGACAAGACTGACAGTGACAGGTTTGAAAGTGACGAGAATGAGAGTAACGAGTATGAGGTTGACAAGAAGGAGAGTAACGAGTAGGAGGATGGCAAGTATGAAAGTGACGAGTTACAACTTACGATTCATGAGGTTTCTGAAGCGTCTTCCCTCTCTCTCACTGTACATCTCCACTATCTTGTCACCACCGTCCTGATGAAACGAGAAACATCTCTGAAATAACATGTGGTAGGATACTGCAACCACACACACACACACACACACCACGGTTACCCTTAGATTAAGGGTAACCGTGGCCAGTGACACCTACGCTTCTCTGAGACCTCTCCCCCTGCTTTGGTTGCTCCCTTATAACATTGCACAGCTCCTGATGACGCATTGTGAAATGTGAAAGTACTTGAGCTAAAGATTTCCACCCCCCGTAGCTTTTTCTTACATATATATGTATATTATATATATAATATATATTATATATATATATATATATCATATATATATATATAATATATATATTATATATATATATTTATATAACTTTGTCTAGAGTTATATATTGTTTGCTGAGCAAATATATGTTTAAGGGATGAGGAGGGGAGTCTGGAAGTAGGTGAGGGGGAGTAAAGAGAAGGGTGAGGAGGAAGTGAGGAAGGGGTGAGGATACAGATCGCTAGCTTATGTTTCAAAGTTTATTCACTTCTAAAGCTTTAATTCATCCTCTCCGGTTTAAGTTCAATCCCTCCATGTTCACGTTACCAGCCCCTCCTTTCCAGTCCTGTCTCAAGTTCATCTCCCCACCACACCACCCCAAGTTCCCCTCACCACCACCAAGTTCACTCACCACCACCATGTTCAACACACCACCTAGTTCCCCCCCACCCCCAAAGTTCCATTCTCACACGCTGAAAAGTTTAAGTTAGATAACTTAGCGACGAAAAGAGAAACACAGTTTTATACCATTATGAGTTTTTTACACTGTGAAAGTTGGCTGGGGTCTCTGTTTCATGGGGTGGTGCAGCTCGTTACAGGGGTCTTAGTCGGGGTCTGTTTCATGGGGTTCTCTGTTTCATGGGGGTCCTCTGTTCATGGGGTCCTCTGTTTCATGGGGGTCCTTCTGTTTCAGGGGGGTCCTGTTTCATGGGTCCTCTGTTCATGTCCTCTCCATGGGGTCTCTGTTTCATGGGGGTCCTTGTTTCATGGGGGTCTCTGTTTCATGGGGGTCGTCTGTTTCATGGGGGGTCGTCTGTTTCAGGGGCCCTTGTTCATGGGGTCGTCTGTTTCATGGGGATCCTCTGCTTTCTGGGGTCCTCCCTGTTTCAGGGGGTCTCTGTTTCATGGGGTCCTCTGTTTCATGGGGATTGTTCCAGGGCTCTGTTTCATGGGGTCCTCTGTTTCATGGGGGTACTCTGTTTCATGGGTCCTCGTTTCATGGGGTCCTCTGTTTCATGGGGTCTTGTTTCATGGGTCCTCTGTTTCATGGGGTCTTTCTGTTTATGGGGTCCTCTGTATTCATGGGGGTCCTCTGTTTATGTCTCTGTTTCAATGGGGTCCTCTGTTTCAGAGGGTCTTTTGTTTCATGGGGGTCCTCTGTTTCATGGGGTCCTCGGTTTATGGGGGTCCTCTGTTTCAGGGGGGTCTCTGTTTCATGGGGGGTCTCTGTTTATGGGGGTCCTCTGTTTCATGGGGAGTCCTCTGTTTCATGGGGTCCGCTGTTTCATGGGGGCCCTCTGTTTCATGGGGTCCTCTGTTTCATGGGGTCCTCGTGTTTCAGGGGGTCCTCTGTTTCATGGGGTCCTCTGTTTCCATGGGGGTCCTCTGTTTCATGGGGTCTCTGTTTCATGGGGGTCCCCCTGTTTCATGGGGGTCCTCTGTTTCATGGGGGTCCCTCTTTTTCATGGGGTCACCTGTTTCAGGGGTTGCATGGTCCACTGTTTCATGGGGGTCTCTGTTTCATGGGGTCCTCTGTTTCATGGGGGTTCCTCTGTTTCATGGGTCCTCTGTTCATGGGCCTTGTTTCATGGGCCTCTGTTTCATGGGGCCCGCATGGTCCTCTGTTTCATGGGTCCTCTGTTCATGGGGTCCTCGTTTCACTGGGGTCTCTGTTTCAGGGGTCCTCTGTTTTATGGGGGCCCTCTGTTTCATGGGGGTCCTCTGTTTCATGGGGGTCCTCTGTTTCATGGGGACCCTCTGTTTCATGGGGGTCCTCTGTTTCATGGGGGTCCTCTGTTTCATGGGGGTCCTCTGTTTCATGGGGGTTCTCTGTTTCATGGGGGTCGTCTGTTTCATGGGGGTCCTCTGTTTCATGGGGTCCTCTGTTTCATGGGGGTCCTCTGTTTCATGGGGGTCCTCTGTTTCATGGGGGTCCTCTGTTTCATGGGGGTCCTCTGTTTCATGGGGGTCCTCTGTTTCATGGGGTCCTCTGTTTCATGGGGGTCCTCTGTTTCATGGGGGTCCTCTGTTTCATGGGGGTCCTCTGTTTCAGGGGGGGTCCTCTGTTTCATGGGGGTCCTCTGTTTCATGGGGTCCTCTGTTTCATGGGGGTCCTCTGTTTCATGGGGGTCCTCTGTTTCATGGGGGTCCTCTGTTTCATGGGGGTCCTCTGTTTCATGGGGGTCCTCTGTTTCCATGGGGGTCCTCTGTTTCATGGGGGTCCTCTGTTTCATGGGGGTCCTCTGTTTTATGGGGGTCCTCTGTTTCATGGGGTCCTCTGTTTCATGGGGGTCCTCTGTTTCATGGGGATCCTCTGTTTCATGGGGGTCCTCTGTTTCATGGGGGTCCTCTGTTTTCATGGGGGTCCTCTGTTTCATGGGGGTTCTCTGTTTCATGGGGGTCGTCTGTTTCATGGGGGTCCTCTGTTTCATGGGGTCCTCTGTTTCATGGGGGTCCTCTGTTTCATGGGGGTCCTCTGTTTCATGGGGTCCTCTGTTTCATGGGGGTCCTCTGTTTCATGGGGGTCCTCTGTTTCATGGGGGTCCTCTGTTTCATGGGGGTCCTCTGTTTCATGGGAGTCCTCTGTTTCATGGGGTCCTCTGTTTCATGGGGTCCTCTGTTTCAAGGGGGTCCTCTGTTTCATGAGGATCCTCTGTTTCATGGGGGTCTTAGATTTCATGGGGGTCCTCTATTTCATGGGGGTCCTCTGTTTCATGGAAGTTCTCTGTTTCATGGGGGTCCTCTGTTTCATGGGGTCCTCTGTTTCATGGGGATCCTCTGTTTCATGGGGGTCCTCTGTTTCATGGGGGTCCTCTGTTTCATGGGGGTTCTCTGTTTCATGGGGGTCCTCTGTCTCAGGGGGGTCCTCTGTTTCATGGGGTCCTCTGTTTCATGGGGGTCCTCTGTTTCATGGGGGTCCTCTGCTTCATGGGGGTTCTCTGTTTCATGGGGGTCCTCTGTTTCATGGGGGTTCTCTGTTTCGTGGGGGTCTTCTGTTTCATTGGGGTCCTCTGTTTCATGGGGATCCTCTGTTTCATGGGGTCCTCTGTTTCATGGGGGTACTCTGTTTCATGGGGTCCTCTGTTTCATGGGGATCCTCTGTTTCATGGGGGTCCTCTATTTCATGGGGTCCCCTGCTTCATGGGGGTCCTCCGTTTCATGGGGGTCCTCTGTTTCATGGGGTCCTGTGTTTCATGGGGATCCTCTGTTTCACGGGGGTCCTCTGTTTCATGGGGTCCTCTGATTCATGGGGGTCCTCTGTTTCATGGGGGTTCTCTATTTTATGGGGTCCCCTGTTTCATGGGGGATCCTCTGTTTCATGTGGGGTCCTCTGTTCCATGGGGTCCTCTGTTTCATGGGGGTCCTCTGTTTCATGGGAGTTCTCTGTTTCATGGGGTCCTCTGTTTCATTGGGGCCCCTCTGTTTCATGTGGGGTCCTCTGTTCCATGGGGTCCTCTGTTTCATGGGGGTCCTCTGTTTCATGGGAGTTCTCTGTTTCATGGGGTCCTCTGTTTCATGGGGCCCCTCTGTTTCATGGGGGTCCAATGTTTCATGAAGGGTCCTCTGTTTCATGGGGGTCCTCTGTTTCATGGAGGGTCCTCTGCTTCATGGTGGTCCTCTGTTTCATGGAGGGGTCCTTTGTTTCATGGTGGGGTCTTCTGTTTCATGGTGGGGTCCTCTGTTTCATGGTGGGGTCCTCTGTTTTATGGTGGGGTCATGGCATTTGATTAAAATTTATAAATCAATGTTATTATCGTTATTGTTACTATTATCATAACGTCGTCAGAGTCCCTCTCCTTAGTAATAAAGTGTCCCAGCCACGGAACTGCGATTTTTGTCTTCTATTGAAGGACATGTTATGACTTGATGTCCCTGCACACTGTCCCGTCAGGCTGATCAACACACTGTCCCGTCAGGCTGATCAACACACTGTCCCGTCAGGCTGATCAACACACTGTCCCGTCAGGCTGATCAACACACTGTCCCGTCAGGCTGATCAACACACTGTCCCGTCAGGCTGATCAACACACTGTCCCGTCAGGCTGATCAACACACTGTCCCGTCAGGCTGATCAACACACTGTCCCGTCAGGCTGATCAACACACTGTCCCGTCAGGCTGATCACATCATAACACGAAGTAATCAGTCTTGGAGGTGTCTCGACACCTCCAAGGCCACAACATTAATATCACACGCTCGCATTAGTACATATACTAATAAACTGATTTCAGCTAATCGTCGTTATTATTTTAACATCCATTCATCACATTTTATCCAAAATATGCTATTAACTTTACACATTCTTAGGCAGTAACCTGAATTACACCATAGGAATGGATGAGGACTTCGGAAACCTACTGGACCATGGTAGGCAAGTCCTAATTAGGACATTGTCATCTACGAATGATTAAGTAATTCAAACCAATTATTGGTCCTTGATTGTGTGGCGTATAGAGTTAAGATGTAATTCTAGGAGCTTAACAGGAACAGATGGAGAGATTACAAGGTGATATACACACAGCCCAGCTCGGTTTATCGCACCCACTGAGTCGTTTATAGCTCCTGGAACCTCGACATTGTGTAGGCTGGATGCAGCCAGGCCCAAGGGAGTGCAAGTTGTGCAGGCGCTAGCCCTTTCTAAATCAAATTTCACGGTATAATTAGAAGCATAAATGGGAGGTAATTCTGTCATTGGGAAGGCCGGTGAGAGTTTAGTCAGCCTCCTGGGACCAACACTCACCAGACGGCTCTTCAAACTCTGAGTTAAGTATTTCTAAGGTCCGTCCTCTGATGTTGCTGCTGCTGCTGCTGTTGCTGCTGGTGTTGTTGTTGCTGCTGCTGCTATTGCTGTTGCTGCTGCTTCTGATGCTACTGCTGTTGCTGCCGTTGGTTTTGGTGTTTCTGCTGCTGCTGCTATTGCTGTTGCTGCTGCTGTTGCTGATGCTGCTGCTGGTGCTACTGCTGCTGCTGTTGGTGTTGTTGTTGCTGCTGTTGCTGCTATTGCCACACTACCGCTTCTTTCTCTTTCTTCTCATTATTATTATTATATTCTTCTGGAAAGCAGCAAAGTCTTATGGGTCATACTAGAGGACTATATTTTCAGTATACTTTCAATATACTCCTGAAATTCCTACGGTTGGCCTACTTATTCTTATTTTTGTTCTTCACATTCTTACTTCTGGACCAATCCAAGTCACGGTCTGTCCTGGACCAAAACACATCGTTACTTGATAAAATGGTCCATGACTGACTAAAGCTCGTCCAGTTTCCATTTACAAAACTGCAGTTTAGCTGTGAATGAAATTCTAAACATCTCTTGTTTATGTTACGGCCGTTACTTTAAAGTTGGAAGCTTTTTCGCGGTGCTCTAAATTATGTATATAACAGGACGGGTGACAGCATGGTGAGACGCTTCACCCTTTATTGCTGTCTTGGTCAATATTTACCTCGGGTACGTATATCTTCATCCCACATAGCATTATTTACCTATGTTGATGACATCTGTTGATGACGTCTGTTGATGACGTCTGTTTAAAGACAGTGGAACTCACCATACAATTTACTCAGGAGAAAAAAAACCTGGTTTCGTCACCCCTTCCTTGACGTCCTCACCAAGGAAAGGAACACCCTGCAACATAGGGTTTGTACGAAGATGTTTTGATTCACTATTTTTTTTACCCCCACGACCCGAAGACAGCATGGACATCGTAGGTCAGTTCTTCCTCACCTCTCAGGGTTTGTAATTAAGAATTCTTTGAGGGAAGGGACTGAAATACCTCGAGGACGCCTTCACAGCTAAGTACCTATTACACATCATTCACTTCTGCGGATGGAAAGCCATACTGATCTGCACCACGCCCAGAAAAACATCTACTTTTGAGCATCATTATGTCCTCTTCAGTAGAGAGGTTGCCTCTTATTTTCCATAAAGCCAAAACTATAATATTTCAGTCATAGACAACAAAACCATCAAAGATATCACCAGACTTTACAGACCCATAACTACCTTTATTGTTGGGGTTAGGAGCACTTCATGTGTAGGATGTAGCGAGGCATACATCAGGGAGACAGGATATGACCTTCAGATTCGCCTGTAGCAACACAAATATATTTACAAGATATGGACGATATCAACAACGTATGCATCAATCACTACAAATCTAAACACATCATGAAACAGGGAACAGATCTACAGTCATGTCAGCAGCAGGAGAAAACCAAGCGCTGTATCCTGGAAGCAGCCAGGTCATCTGACTGAAGTTATTCGACAAACCAAGGGACTGTATACACTGGCAGGTCCACACTGCTCGTATAGCACATTGTTGATGCAATATAAATATTTCTTATGGAGATGATCCCGTGTCCCACTTTCACTACCCAACAAATCGGCACTTATGATAAGAATATTGCTTGACCTCGTGACCTGTCCCAAGCCTGACCTCTAGGTGACCTTATGAGACCGTGTATCTGTGTTATATATAATCGCAAAAGTCCAGTCTTGGACGAAACGTCATGGTGAAGCCCAGTCCTGTTCGAAACGTCTTCGTAATGAAGATTTCCCCTTAAATATAGTGAATTCCTGATTCCCCCAAAGTCCCCATTTCCTTAAATCAAGAGCCCCTCATGCAGTGTTATCATGCTGCTTCCTGGGCGTTTCCACGAAGTTATGGCAGTTATCTTGACAGTTAGGAATCCTTCAGCAGTTATATCATGTGTCCGTAAAGTCATTTCTCTTGGCTGATATGTACCAGGTGTTATCTTAGGCGCAGTTATGTAACCTACCGTGGCGATAACAGGTCCCAGGTGCCTGTCACCTGTCACCAGGAAGGGGGGGGAGATGATAACACTCCAGATAACACCTCAAGACAAGATAACAGGAGCGTCCTGACGTGCGCCAGGTGAAAAGGAGGCACCCATCACTTGATCACCTAATTACCAACCACAACAGTAGTCATTAGGAGAGTTAATTAGTGGAATTTATCACCTTCTCGGGTACAAACCAGCCCGTCATCTGTCGCTGTGATAACAACCTCAAAGGTTATAATGTAATTAAAATAACCCCATTATCGTGACATTTAAAAAAATTGAGACTTAGAGATTATTTTATTTTAGGAATAACTATTATCGAGTGAATATAATCGAGACAGAGATAATTTTAGAGTTAAAATAACTCCTTTATCAGGGCCAATAAAAGCGAGGTTTAAGATACTTGTATAATAAAAATAATTCCTTTATTACTGCTGTTTGTTATCGTGAATAATGAAGAATGTTTTTGGCTGTTCATATTCTTACTGGTAGACCAGCGTCCATGCTGCTGATGAACTCTTAATCCGAGGAACTGGAGCTTCCCTTTCCACCCCCCTCTTTAAATAATGCCATGACTGCTGTCCATTCCCCAGGCTCTGTGGCACCCTTACGGGTTTACCTTTTCTCATTCCTATCATCCTTATTGTTCCCTTTCCTTTTACTTACGTCACTCACTCTCCTACTCAGCCCCTTTCTCTGATTTACTTAAGACCGTTTCTCAGGGCGACCCTTTACTGCCCCCTTCCCTTTGTTACTCTCGTCCCGACTCACTCTAATTCGTCCTACCTCGCACAGCCTCTCCCAGAGATTCACCCAGACAAGCTCCAACACTCAGATTCGCCAAGACTCACCCAGTCTTATCCTGACTCACCCTGAGTCTCATGATGACCCGTGCCATGAGCCTGACAAAGTCCTGTGGCACGTATGGGCTAAGTCGTCTGAGGTTGTGGCACTCGAAGCTGTGTAGTGCCCAGTCTTCTCTCTGGCACTGGTCACTGCAGTACCACAGTGTCCGGCACCCCTGGCATCGACTCAGTATCCTCTTGTCTCTGTAGGAGAGAGAGAGAGAGAGAGAGAGAGAGAGAGGAGAGAGAGAGAGAGAAGAGAAGAGAGAGAGAGAGAGAGAGAGAGAGAGAGAGAGAGAGAGAGAGAGAGAAAGAGAAAGAGAGAAGAGAGAGAGAGAGAGAGAGAGAGAGAGAGAGAGAGAGAGAGAGAGAGAGAGAGAGAGAGAGAGAGAGAGAGAGAGAGAGAGAGAGAGAGAGAGAGAGAGAGAGAGAGAGATTTAAATAATTTTATACTTGAAATAAATGGTCTTCCTTCGTCCATACAATTTACAGTCGAATTTGAGCAAAATAACTCATTGCCATTCCTACAGGTGTCCCATATGTCTGGAATCATAGAGATAAATTAAAAAAAAGGCCACAATAAGGACTTTTATTCAAAGAATGTGCTCATCTTGTCCACCATTATTATTTTTGATGCACAAATGGTATCATGCGTGATGGTGTTACATGCGGCCACCAATTCGCTCTCGCAAATACTCAACATTTTCCGGTTTTCCTCCGCGTCAACCTCATGGTCACTCTGTTTAACGCTATGTGCTTCGTTGTCCGCTTATTTTGTTAGTGGAAATAAGATACCAGGTATATTAAGCAAACAAGTGTAGGTATAAATCCAGATGTACTCCTGTTAACCCTGTAGTGGCCTAGTTCCTAGGTCTTTTGTGTATCCACATGTTCTTGTCCGGGATGGATACGGGAGGGCACAACATCCTCGCAGCTTCAGCGGCGGAATCTGATCTTCACGTAAACCAATGACTTCAAACAATCCCGGAGATCAAAATCCCAGGGAGAGAGATGGAGGCTCCTGGTTGGCCACTCCAAAGACCCTCAGTCACCTCATGCTTCCACACTTATAATACATGGTCATAAATCACGGTACGGATGGGGATTGAACTCGCGGTAAGTGAGCCGTAAAATGTCACGGCCACGCTGGCGGGAGATTCATCTGTAAAAACTTGCCTTTGTGGTCATAGTGAGACCCATGCTAACCTCCCTATGGTGGATAATTCTTATTGTAGCCAGCCGGCCCAGTGGCTTACGCGCTGGCCTGGAGTTTTACGACTTACTTGCCACGAGTTCAATCCCCGCCCGTACCGTAGTTTGTTTGCAATCGTGCCATTACAATTTTGAGAGTCACATTACACAGTCATATTTTAATTATCAGAAAGATACAATTACTACGTATATATAGAAAGCTGATCAATATCTGTCTTTATAAAGGCTGTTAAGTGTCACGTCTGTGGCAGGTTTATAGATGAGGAAATAAAGAAGATTTATAAAGTATTTAATAACCTACGACACTCAAAACTTTCTATTAGTAAATCTTTTAATACTGCTTGGAATATTTACACTTCCCTCCTCCCTGACTCTCCAAAAAATGAAGACCATGAACTATACTGAACCAAGAATATGTTGGTGCCACCATATTATGTAACCTTCCGGTCTGTGACCGGGTCAAGAGAACTTTGACACCCTCCTCCTGTCCCGAAATCATCTCCAGGTCCGTCCTCAAAATCTTCTAATAGAAATGTTGAATTTAAACATTTAAATATCGTACAAATATTCATGATTAGGATTACCCCAGAAAAAGCTGATTATTTTTTTTTTTTTGCAAGATCCCATGTGCAAAATGTAACAAATTTTAAATAGAGAAAACTGGAACAAATCACGAAATTAAGATTACAGCATCAGGAGTATAGTACCAGTACTGACCAGGATTCCAGTGACATCTTAATTCAACTAAGAGATTTTAATGCTCTCATTAATTGGCTAATCAATTAGAAAGCTGCCCCTCTGTCCTTGATTCACAAGCCGAGATAATACACGA